ATTCTGTGTGCTTGAGATAGTTGGAGATCGTTCCCGGCGCCAGAATAGCAGTTTTCATTTTTCCCCATTGACTTATAATGGTGAGGTCACGAAAATGACCTGACCTCATATGACCTTTAGGAAAAATCCGAGATATACAAGTTGTGGGACTCATAATGGATACTAGATCCTGCAAGTTTCATTTCCCTGTGACATCTCCTCTGGCAGTGAGGGCGTTGCGAAGTTGCGACATCTGAAGACCGTGCAGAGGTTCACTTATGACGTCATAGGTCAGTGACCTGACCTGACCCAAAAATGCGGTTGGTGTCAAAAGATGCGGCTTGGATCAAAGGTCAGGTATGCCAAGTTTCAGCTCTCTATCGCCAGCGTGTTCGGAGCTATCGCGAAAAAACCCTATGGGGGGGGCGGCACCCGCCCCCCCCCCTCGGCCGGCGAGGGTTATTGCGGTCCGTCCCATCACCATGTCGAACTACCTACACAAAAAAAAAAAACATAAATGTCTTCGGCCAGCGGTTCCGAGACTACGGCTCGCAGGGCACTGTGTAGTCCGGTTTCCGCGGGGGACTTATTTGAAATTTGAGACCGGGGCTGGGTAACTAAGGTCCGTCCGGGCTGCCTGCGTCGTCTCCGTATAGCCGCGGTTTTCGGGCCAGCCCCCGGCGACCGAAAAGGGTTAGTCGTTCGTCGGCTTTACACGAATCCATGACTACCAGTTTATGCCAAATTGCCTATAATAAAACGAAAACTAAGCGTACCACGGCCCGCAATGGGCTTATCTAAATTTGAAACCGGGCTGGGTAACTAGGTCCGTCCGGGCTGCCTGCATCGTCTCCGTATAGCCACGGCTTTTGAAACAGCACCGGCGACCGAACGGGTTAGCCTCCGTTGGCTTCACACAATCCACGACTACCAGCGTTATAGGTGCCCGAAGCCCTATCTATCCGTTGCTGGTAGTTAAGCTGTCGTCACAGACCTATCCGAAATGACCGCTGCACGGCCGGAGTTAATCGACTGACAGCGGGGTGGCCAGTACCGACTTACCGCGATCACCCGACTCGCATGCTTTGGTATTTAATGTTCACCCCCGTCCTGCAGCATCACACGTTTCTTCGCGGGACATTACTTAACCGGCGGCATACGTCTCCTCGCTGGGACGCCTGGGGTCCTAACCATCTCCGAAACTACCTACGTCACTTATCGAATGTCATCCTGCGCTGATCACTCAATGGACCGATAGCGGACCTAACCTATCTTTTAAAACCGGGCGGGGTCACTAGGTCCCTCCGGGCTGCCTGCATCGTCTCCGTATAGCCACGGCTTTATGGGGCCCGCGCCGGCAACCGAACGGATTAGCCTTCGTCGGCTATGCACTCATCCTCAATAATCGATCCTCAACTCGCTCTCATCCTTTCTCTTCACTTCGCGACTTATTGCACGTATCCAGGGCTTACCCAAGCGAGGCCTACTATTTAAGTGGGGTCTATCCGAGCTGAGCTTCATTTAGGAATTCCGATTCCTCTCCGTGTACAGTCTTCTTCCATTTCACTCGCTTCTCATCTCCCTCCTAACCCATGGCCGCGTCGGTGGACTTTCCACGCACAGGGGCGTGACGTGCATCATCTATCTCCCCGGTTCCGTCCCTTGCAGTGTCCCCAGTGTCCATGTGGGGTAAAGTTACAAATATTTCGTGTGCGGCAAGGTCTATGTGTGCTCCTTATATTCGGACCGCTGGATAGGGTAGAGCGCCAGGAAATCCGCTGGCGAGGGCACTTGGGAGTCAACCGGAGAAGCTCCAGTATCGGTTGGGCTAGGGAGGTCCCGTATGTGTTGTGTATAATCGCTGTCATTTGGACCGTGGGATAATTTGGGGAGGATGGAGTGCCAGGAAATCCACTGGCAAGGGCACTTAGGAGTCAACCGGAGAAGCTCCAGTATCGGTTAGGCTAGGGAGGTCCTGTATGTGTTGTGTGTAATCGCTATTGTTTGGACCGTGGGATAATTTGGGGAGGATGGAGTGCCAGGAAATCCACTGGCAAGGGCACTTAGGAGTCAACCGGAGAAGCTCCAGTATCGGTTAGGCTAGGGAGGTCCTGTGTGTATTGTGTATAATCGCTATTGTTGGACCGTGGGATAATTTGGGGAGGATGGAGTGCCAGGAAATCCACTGGCAAGGGCACTTAGGAGTCAACCGGAGAAGCTCCAGTATCGGCTAGGCTAGGGAGGTCCTGTGGGTGTTGTGTGTAATCGCTATTGTTTGGACCGTGGGATAATTTGGGGAGGATGGAGTGCCAGGAAATCCACTGGCAAGGGCACTTAGGAGTCAACCGGAGAAGCTCCAGTATCGGCTAGGCTAGGGAGGTCCTGTGTGTGTGTTGTGTATAATCGCTATTGTTGGACCGTGGGATAATTTGGGGAGGATGGAGTGCCAGGAAATCCACTGGCAAGGGCACTTAGGAGTCAACCGGAGAAGCTCCAGTATCGGTTAGGCTAGGGAGGCCCTGCATGTGTTGTGTATAATCGCTTTGTGCACTGTGTAAACTCAACAGATAAAGAGAACTGATCGTTGTAAATTACTCTGGCCGGACACCTTGGAAACGACCTCTTTCCTGACTGTGGGTTAGCATATGGCCTTTTATGCTCCATTCTCCGATCCCTGCCCCTTCAGCACTACTCACACTCGTATTTCAATATTTACAAGTCCCATTTATTTACATACTCCGACGCAACACCTTAAATTCCCTTACAAGTCAAATTTAAAGGAAACATTCTGGCCCCAGGCCGCCCATCAACTGAGCCCCACAAGCCGCGCGGTGCGGTACACAGTCGCCCGTCCCTTTCCCGACTCCCCACGGTGCATAATCCCCTCCGTCCGCTTAAATCACAACGGGGCGCCAGACGACTGAAGAGGGCCCACGTCGGCACGCGTGTCGCACTACGCGCACAGTTACATAATTGATCGAAATCGAATTGTGAAATTAAGCTACCTAGACTGAAAGTCCCAAGAATAAATTTAAATACCTAAGCTGAATGGCCTAAAATATTGCGGACGACACCTAAAAGGGGAATATAATGTGGCTCACATAGCAGTAACGAAAGGGGGGGGGGTTACTTGGAGGATTTAGGGACTAGGTGCGCATCCGTGTTCACCGCGTGACCTTACTTGAGATGGAGTCGCTGACATGATGGTCGTGACCGTCCAGCGCCCGGCCAGGCGGCCGGAGCCGCCGCCGGCGCCGTGATGCCTGCCGCTGGTCTCTCGTGGGCTGTCCACGGTGTCAGATGTGAGCCGAGAGCGAAGAACCGCGTGGGATCCGTCGTCCGAGAGAGAGCCAGAGAGCGCGGAATGCGTCGTCCGAGAGCTTTTCAGTTCCGTTTCATCAACTTATACTTCTGATGACGTCATACTTCAGAGGGCCGGGCAGCATCACCTTGTCCAATCTCCGTCCTCCATTCTCAGAAGCTGCACTCGGCTCCGCCCTCGAAAGTTCGTGATTTGCTGACAAAGTTCGGTTTCCCTCCGGCCATGGCAGTCGCACCCTTTCACGCAGCGACCGGGTGGAATTCGCCGCCGGCGCTCACGGCGCCTGAGGCGCCAGGTGGCGGGCTCCCCTTGTTTTGAAGTCAGCTCCGGCCAGATGTCCTATATTTTGTCGTTGGCGACCGAGTTCCATTTCATCCTGTTTTCGTACAAACCGGGTCGGTCCCTGCTCCCCTTTCTTGTTTTGGTTCAAATCAGGGCCGGTCTGCACTCCCCTCTCCTTGTTCTCTGGCGGGGTGCCGAGCGTGGGACAGAGTCTTGTTTTCCAAAGGCTAAACTGATTAATGGCTCGAGGCTGGCAGAATGGCGCGTTTCGGTATGCTATTTGTTGGCTTCAGATCCGGGTTCTCATGAAGTGGGGTGGTCATCTATAGAGGACCCCTGTTTGTCAGAGCCGACTGCGCCGTCTGTGTGGACGCCAGCTGGGACGGAGAGAGGGTATCACAGCCGATTTAGCCGGCTGACGGTGTCTGTGCGGTACTCGCAGATGGCCGCGTTTCAGCTTGTGGCACAGCTTGCAGTTCAGCATGAAAGATGAAAAAATGTAACGCATCTGCGTTACATCATTTTTTTGACACAATTTTTGGCAATTTTAGAGCACGTAGCGCAAAACAAAGACTGCCATTGAACTCCCCGTGACGAGGTGCATCGAATCGATACCCATTTTATGCAAAAATATCAACTTTGAAATTTGACCTTTTTTAACCTGACCTTGACCTGACCTTGACCTGACCTTGACCTGACCTTGACCTGACCTTCACCAGAACATAATCTAAACCGACCCCCAGGGCTGCCTGTCCCACATAATCGCATTTGACTTATAAAATGGACCATGAAACATTTATCACATGATATTTTTATATTGTGACCCTCAGTGACCTGACCTCTGTGACCTGACCTAGTATCAGTGACCTCAAATAGCAAAATATGTGTTTGACGAACAATACCCTATCGATGATTTTCAATGAAATGCATTTCACTCGATTTTAAAACGCATTTCTTGAAATGCCTGTTAACGGTGAAAATTCGACCTTTGACCTGACCTGTGACGTCATCAGTTTGGCCTAGCTCAATGAAGTTTTGTCACAAGGTAGTTCCCTGTTGGGCTATCCAACGCCGTTTGCCGCTTGTGGCTATGTTGCGTGATTCTCGAGATCTTAGGGGAGGGGGGCAAATTGCCCCCCCCCACAGGGGGCGTTGCTCGGTAGACCCCAACGGGGCGCGGGTTAACCCGCGCCCTGATGGGGTCTGCCGAGCATCGCGGTCTAATGGGGGAGGCATTTTTGGTCTTCCAACAGGCACTTAAACAGATGCAATATATCTATTTCTGGTCAAGTATTCAATGTAAGACGCGAAAATTGCAAATTACTGACATAACGAGCTACGTGATTTTAGTTATCAAGCAATGACGAGGGCGTCAATATTGACCAAGTCTAGATGACCGGGTATTATGGGTACTTACCGTTTCCTGCTCGCCCGCGATCACCTCAGGGGCTATCCATCCCTGAGTACCGTGGTGACCAGTCATTGTCCATCCACTTGTTGTCAGGTCCTTGGATACGCCAAAGTCGGCGAGTTTAGCCAGGGTTTCACCTCTCTTGTTTTTAACCAGCAAAATGTTCGATGGTTTGATGTCCCTATGAACTGAAAAAGAACCGTGCTGAGTTTATTTTGGGTAAAAATTTGTGACGATAAAGACCCAGCTACTAGCCATCCAGTGGCGGTACGTCTACAGAAGCATAAAGAGCAGTACAAACGTACCAAATGTGCAACACAACACTATTTTTTGCTGTTCATTTTGACAAATGTTTAGTTTAATGAAAAACAATATCAGATTATTTTCTGTATTCAATGTAAACGCGTTTCGATTATTTATTTATCAATACATTGACACAATACGGCTATAATTATCAACGTACAATGTATTTCATCAAACTAAACAACACTGCTTTATGTGATCCACACATTACACACATGCGTAGAACATGGTCAGCGAATATTTTGGTTTCACAAAAAAATGAGGGCAACACACAATATAAAAAGACTTCAACGCCAGAGCGGATTTTGCCTCTTTGCGACAAGACTGCACAAGAAAAAGTTTTGTTCTTAACCCGCGCCGTGCTGGGGGGGGGGCGTTTTTACGCTCAGGTTTTTCGCGAATATCTCAAAAACGGCGGCGCGCAGCGCCGCCGTTTTTGGTACACGTGTTCCTACATCATTTCCGCACATGTTGTGAAAATTTCAGACCTAGGCCGTTCAAGGTCAGGTCACCAGGTCACGTCAAGTGACCTTACCTCAGAAAAAGTTCAAAGGCTCGCTATAGCTACACCGACTGAACGATCACTTTGAAACTTTCAGCGATTGATATGAGTAACAGTATGTATAAAATGTATATCTCGGATTTTTGATATCTGTGACCTAAGGTCAGGTCAATTTTGCGACCTCTCCATTATAAGTCAATGGGAGAAAATTGAAATGCGCCTCTTTTGGACGAATATCGTTCAAAACGCTCTCAAACATCGGTTCATAGGTAAACATGACACACTGAATAGGAAAAATGCACCTGTGACCCCTCTGTGTGCCCCTGAGGTCATCTCAGGTCATGAACGGTCGCCAGCAGTTTTTTGGCTATAACTTTTGATAGAGACGTGCTAGAGCGGTGAAAACACGTCAGATGTGTTCAGCTCGACGATACGGATCGACTGATATGCAACATGACCCTTTTCGGTCAGGTCATGACCTTGACCTGAGGTCAAATTTTCAAAATGACCTTTCAAGGTCAACAAATAGTTCATTCGACGCGTCTCAACGAGAGGAACACGATGCTTGCAAAAGTAATGTCATGGCGCTTATGAGTCAAAAGTTATTGACGAAAAAACGTTTTTCGTAAAAACGGCTATTTTTTGGAGTTTTTGCCCTCTGGAGCCTAAACCGTTGACCTGAGGTCAAATCTGAGAACAATACTCAGAAAGGTCTGTAAAAGGGCTATCGAATGCGCTTTTCCGCGGCGCTGTAGCTCTATCGGTTCTCGAGATAGCCGTTGGCAGTTTCCAAAATGTTGAAATAGTCAACATTTTACCTTTGGTGACCTCTGGTGACCTGACCTTTGACCTGACCCAAAAAATGACCGAAGTGTTTTCGTCCTTATTTTTGACGCTCTTTCGATTGCCGCTTACCGCGTGTCGCTACGTGGCCCAGGAGCCGAGTTAGACGGGGGGGCGTGAAAACGCCCCCCCCAGCACTCGGCGGAAAGTTCAGGCCACCAGCACGGCGCGGGTTAAGTTTTTCTCATACAGCTCGCTTTTTTTACAATCCTAGCCCTACCCTGTATAGGGGGGTTGCGAAGGGACCCCCTTCCGTTTTTCGCGTATAACTCGCGTAAAAAGAGCCTGATCGCGACGACATTTACAGTACCCTAGTGTTGATAAATTTTACACCTACCTTAAAAATGTCATGACCCTGACCAAAATGACCTTTGACCTGTGGCCTACTTTTGAGAACATGTTTGGCCGGAATCGCGATTCGGCGTATGTCGGCTCGCATTAGCCGCGCGTTTGCAGTCTTTTCGTGGTTTCAAGCGTTCAAACATGTGATATGATGTTGGCCATTAGGGTGGGTGTCAAGGTCACCTGAAGGTCAGGTCAGGTCATTGAACTTTTATGACCTCGGTTCACCTTTTCGAGTTTTACATGTTTCTAGGCTAGTTTTTTAGTTGAATTCAAATTTAACAACCACTTGAACATTTACGAAGTAGTTTTGGTGCCTTCGTGAAATGTTACGAAGCTGTCAGAGGCGGTTGACACCTACTACGAATACCCGGCAGGATCCCTACTGGTTGACCTAAACTGAACTGGCCCGACATGGCCTAAATGCAAGAAGACATCATCTGTGATTAAAACTAACATGAAATTCGTGATCGGCACCCCGAAAAAAAAACATAGCAACATCACTTTGCGATATTCTAACAGGTCCCGATTATCCCTACTTTTGGGTCATTGACCTAACCTTCCAGGTCAGGTCAATCTGGAATGACCTAGGACGTTAACCCGCGCCCGGCTGGGGCTCCGGGATTTCCACGCCCTGCTGGGGGGAAGGGTGTGTGAACACCCCCCTTCTAACTCGGCTCCTGGGCCACGTAACGATACGCGAAAGGCGGTGTTCGAAAGAGCGCCAAAAATAATGACGAAATTACATCGGTCACTTTTTTGGTCAGGTCAAAGGTCAGGTCACCAGAGGTCATTGAAGGTCAAATCTCGCCAATTTTCAGGCCGAATGTCGACAATTTCCAGGAAGCCAACGCATAACTCGGGAACCAATAGAGCTACAGCGCCGCGGAAAAGCGCATTCGATAGCCCTATTAACCCGCGCACCGACGGGGGTCTGCGCCAACTTCGCACCGACGCACAGTGGGGATTTTTCCGATCTAGCGGCTCTTAATTCCAAAAATCTTTTTTGGATTTTTGTTTATTTTTTTGTGTCAGTGGGCTAAGAAATGTCTGAATTTTTCATATATGGCATTGTTTTATCTGTATGTCCACAGCAAAACTAGGAAAATGCGCCCCAAAGTTCACACTCATGCGTGATTACTCAATGGGCTCAGCAAGGCCCGAAAGTATAGCTCAATTTCATTGTCCTGTCCTGTTGGTTTTAATCTTGCGAGGTCTTAAAGTTGCACATCTTCTGAAAGGCACCTTTATTAGGAATGGAATGACAAACAGAAAGTATGCCACAACCTTACTAAGGTCACAAAAATGCCATTTACAAAAAATCCTTACAGACACCATATTGAAGGAATGGTATTCTAAATAGATGTAGGAAATCAACAATGTTCTCCCCACTTTTCCACTCCGAAATATATCCTATCGAATTCGCCACTTTCTCCTGCACAAGACAGCGCCTAGTTTGGCTGCCGAAACTTGCCTGAACACGGAATATTCACATTAGAGTATCTTGACACCCCACTCTAGGAGCGCTAGGGCAAACAGCACGATATAGGTATGTTCCTGACATAGGCGAATAATTTTACTTCGTGATTTATATCTATATTACTATTTGAGGAGGGTGCGTCTGTCCGTTACCGAGGTCCCGACTTGGTGGTGCTTTGCGTGGACTACAGGCCAGATCGTTGCACCTAGCCCGGTGAAATTTGCACAACTTATAGATCAAGGATGCGCGACGTGCCTTTGAGGGGTCTCAGCTCGATCGGATTGATAGGGAGCGCGTGGCGTGTGCTCAAAAAGTGCAAATTCGCGTCATAGACTTTACATGTATAAATCGGCGTGCGAAATCGGGCGAAAACTGCTAATTTTGGCCGACATGGGTCCAGTTCCCGTGCAATATCTTGGTGACCAGGGGTCCGACCGGCACGGGGAAAACAGCATCGTGTACAGAATTGAACGGGCTATTGAATGGTGTGCAATGCAGAGGATAGCACGCGCCACGTGCACCGGGGAGGGCACTTTTGTTGAAAAATTGCGGTTTTTGGCGGATTTTGGAATTGATTTTATCTTTAGGTGACCGTTAAACAGAGCGAGTTGGAACAACGCCTGTTGGCAAGAGAAATGTACCGCATATCATATAAAAATTGTGAAAAGCTGATTGATCCAAATCAAGGTGGTACAAATCACGGGAGAAAATGGCGTTTGTCAATTTTGTGCCACTTTGTTCCTCAAAATGGTTTTGCTCCATGATCTGATACATCTGGCAAATAAAAATGACACCGTTGGAAAGAGCATTCAATTCTGTCCAAGGTTCAGTCTTCATTTTTGCATGATGAGCAACAGTATTCTTAAAAATGTAAATGTTCCAAACCATTGCATCGTCATTTTTAGCAAAATTCATCGATGGCCCCCAAAAGACTTCACGCCAGTTTTCGAATCATTCTAAAGTAGTAGAACGCATGATAATACGACACGGGCACCTCGATGCGATGTATCTTTTTGTTTTATTACAAAATGCTTGGCCGTCAAAAAGCAATCGAACGAATTTGATACCAACCAAACCGACACAGACCAACCCAATACCCACGGGTCAAAAATAACCCTTCTTCGCGTTGCGGAGCACGCGGGTAACCCTAGTGATGCCTATTTTCTGAGACACATTCATTAGGAATAGGATGACAAGCGTAAATTATACATACCGTAACCTTATTAACCATCGCACTTGTGGGGAGGGGAGGGGGAAGAGGTCGGATAAAACCCCATGGTTTTCCGCAAATTACTCGCGCAAAAAGCGGCCGATCGCGACGAAACTTTCGGTGCCCTCGAGATCATTAATTTTACATCTAACCTAAAAAAATCATGACTCTGACCCAACTGACCTTTGACCTGTGGCATATTTCTCGAGACCATGTTTGGCCGGAATCGCGATTCGGCGTATGCCAGCTCACATTATCCGCGGTTTCCAGTCTTTTTGTGATTTTAAACGTTCAAATATGTGAAATGATGTTGGTGCCATGCATTATGGTGGGTGTCTAGGTCATGTGAAGGTCAAGTCAAGGTCATAGACCTTTTGATGACCTTGGTTCACTTTTTCGAGTTTTACTTGTTGCTAGGGTAGTGTTGGTGCTGATTTCGAATTTAGCAGCCATTTGAATATTTACGAAGTAGTTCTGGTGCCTTCGTACCATGTTACGAAGCTATCAG